TGGTTGAAAGGGGTTCAAGAAAAAAGCATTTAACAGACACAAGAATGTAAGGTTCTTTGTGAAAAATTATGTAGATGGTATTATCCTTGATTTAATTATAACACACTCCCTGCATGCTTTGAAAAAGCATATTGCACACCATAAATTTGTACAACAGTTAAATGTAAATAAGAAATAATAAAATAAAATTAGAAAAAAGTTAAATAAATTAATGAATATTTAGAAAAATGCATTAGAAGCCAGTTCTCACAATCTTTACATGTTACAAACTCGGGTTTATGAAACAAGTAATACAAATAAAATTAATAATCTATGTAACCAGAAAAATCAAAATAACATCCTATGTGCTCTATATTACATACATTAAAAGCCTATAGACTTGCAATTTATAAAGAGATTTAAAGTTTGATTTATATTGTTTAATTAATATTGAAATAGCAACCCAAACTAGAGTAAGATTTTCTATTTCAGTATACTTTGATAAAATAGAGAAATCTTCATGTTTTAATCTTTGAGTATTAATAGGCAGTATGATTGATGATACTTTAACCAGTAGGCTACCAGAAGAAAGTAATTAGTAGCATTTTGTCCACCACACACGAAACATATCTTAAATATAGAACTAGCAAGTAGATGAGAGGTACAAACCTGTGTTAAATGTATTCCCTATTTACACCTAAGAAGCCCAAACTGCAAATCAAAAGTTTGTTGTGTATGGTTCATGAAAAAGAGGTCAGAGACTCTTGACTTGACCTGGTCCACAGCTGAGCTAATTTTTTGTAAGTTTATGTATCTATTTATTGAGAGAGAGAGAACCACCTCCAACAGAGTCTTTACACTACAATCCCCCCCTGTCCTGTGCCAAACAGGGTCAAAAGTATGCATGCACACTGATTGTATACAGGGAGACCTCAGGAAGCTAACTCAGGGATTTTCCATGTGGTCTTAGTACCAGTATGTGCTGTGTTACTGCCACAAGTGATCCTTTTTAATTTTAATTCAGAACTGATGACTACCTTTCACTAAGCAATTCTAGCAGATACCAAACCACTTTTTAAAATTAGTTGATTTTAATTTCTGTTTTTGAATGAACTCTGTAAAATAGCTTGAGTATCACTTAAGTCACATCTAATGATTACTCACCTACCAATATAAAGTAAAATGAAGTAGACTGACTCACACTTTCACAAGATCTATTTTTTTTCTTTATCCACACATAAAAATAAATCCCTGCCCTTTTAATTTGCTGGTATACATCCTGTTGACAAAATCAGAAATCTCTGATTTGTTTCTATCAATAACAGTTCTTCGATGTAGCAAAATCAATGTACGTATGTATAATGTTCTATTTGTTCTAAAAATCGAATAAGAAGTGCCCCATAGGAAGGTATAATCTACACAGAGACAATAGCACTTAAGAATCTGAGAATGTTTTATAGCAGATGAAATTTTCCTTTCAATTATATGACATAATAAAGATTATTAAAAGCAAATCCTGTAGGTAGTTGAGTCCTGAATCTATTTCTGCTTAAGTATAAAAGCCTTTATGGGAATAGTGGTGTCAGAATGAAACTAAGGAAAGAGAAGGTAATTTTAGTTTCAGGAGCACTGAACCCCCAGTAGGGATCTGTCACTACTGATGTAATAATTCTATTCATTAAAGGGTCCCTTGGTACAAAATACAGTCATGATTATAAGCTAAGGAACAAAGGGTGAGGCAAGCAGAAACCATGTGTGTATATTTTTCAAACTATACACATTCCGTTGTCTGAAACTCAGCTCTCAGCTATATTGATATGATCTTGTAAAGACAAAGAATCAGATTTGCTAAAATTACAATAAACTGCTATTTTTCATTATTTTAAAGTTGGTCTGTTAGAGTCTATATATTTTATTAGAAAAGTCATTACCAAGTAAGAAATAAGTCTTTAGCTGTGTTCCGAATTTAGAGAGATTCTATCATCTTTTTAGGCATACTGGATTAGTAAGAGTTAAGACAGTAACAAGTTAATCATCATCTGATTATTAGACTACATCAATCTTTTATGATAAACATAACTCCCAATTTAAAATAAATGTGTATATTTCTAAAAATATATATATTAGTAATTGCGTTTTCTCATAATTCATCTTATAACTCCTAAGTTATGAGTTAACAGTCCTTGGAACGTCTGTAATAAATTTAACACTGGAGAGAAATTCAGTAAATTTTTAGAAAACTCTTAGAAAGATGTTTGGGGGCATGATGTCAGCAAGATGGTGAGAAGGAGGTTCCAAACCTCATCCCTTTATAAAAACACCAATATGGCAACCATTCAAAGATGGAAATACCTTCATGAGAGCTCCAGAATCTAGCTCACACTGCTCAGTACTGAGAGAAATCTCGTTGGTCTAGAAGTTCTCAAATAGAGGAAAAGGAGTGCAAAGTGAGCATCTAATGTTGCCGTGGACCCTAGCACAATGCCTACCCCTGTGGATCCTGGTGCCATGCATGCCTATGGACCCAGGCCTATACAAAGACACATTATAATAAAATTGTCAAGAGCCAATGACAAAGAATTCTGAAGGTAATAACAAAAAAATCAACTCATCACATGTAAAGGACCTTCCCCAAAGGCTATCAGTGAATTAGTACAAATCTTGAAAAAGTGAAATGACAGATTCAAAGTGCTGAAAGAAAATTTAAAAATTTAAAAAGCTGCCAACAAAGAATACTATATCTGACAAAACTGTCCCATAAAAATGGAAAGATGAATATTTTGCCAGAAAAACACAAAACTGAGAGTTTGTTACCACTAGAACTACTTTACAAGCAGTATTAACAGGGAGTCCTTTAAACATTAAAGGTGCATAAATGCATTTCCTTCTAGTTGAAATGAAAAGATGCTCAATAGTAACATGAACGCCTATGAAAGTATAAATCTCACTGGTAAAGTAGGTATATAAACAAATAACACTAATGTAATACTGTAGCAAGAGTGTGGAAATAAATTTTAACCCTAGCATAAAAGTTAAAAGATGAAAGTATTTTAAATAAAAATGGGTTACTGAATACACAACAAAAAAGGAAGTAAACCTTTACATTAATATGTAAAATATGTTTGGGGGGTAGTAAATGTATTTTTGTATGCAAAAATTAAACTTTGAATAGCTAAAAATAGGCCATTTTCCATATGATAATATATAATAGTAGCCAAGCTTGTCTTCTCAAAACAGTTCTCATTGTCGATTATCTCTCATTCTGTTTTTCATGAACTGCTGATGGGGATCTACAGATTTAGCCTCACACTAAACTAAACTTTCTACCTATGGCAGTTTCAGACTCTACTCAAGATTTAGGTACCATATTTTGGGACTTTTTTTTAAGGTCAATTCCTGTGTCCTTCTGAAAAACAAACAAATCAAAAAAACTACTGAATTCCATTGAGAGGGTTACATGTCACTTCAAAAATATCATTTATTAGTCATTGAAGATGGGCCTTTTAGTATATCACTATTATGTAATACCCAAGGCTTTAAATAAAAATAATGGTGATATGTAACACTTACAGAACATTCATCGAGAACCAGGCATTCTTTCAGAATCCCTCATGTATTCACACATTTAATAATCAAAATTGGGACCAGCAGGCGGCATGGTGGTTAAGGCGCTGGACACTCCCACATGGCCAACCACGGTTTGAGTCCCGGACTTGGTGGCTTGCTTTCTCACTTTCCGTCTCTCTCGCTTTCTGTGTCTCTCTCTGTCTAAATTGAAATAAATGAATGCATAAATAAAATTAAATAATTCTTTAAAAAATAATCAAAATTATTCTATAAAATAAATACTATTATTACCTCCACATTACAGTTGAAGAAATAGTGAGGTAAAGTTATTTTCTCAAGGCCCCAGTTAGTAGAAGAATACAAACTATCTGATTTCAGACTTCACAACATAAGATAGTAGGCTTGGCATATAGTACAACTGCTGAAGAAGCATCATTAGCATCATTGTCTGAAATTGTGCAGGACATAACCCGTGCATAGAAATACGGTAGTGCTGAGGGTAGAGATCTAGGATCCTCAAAACATATAGATCCCAGTCAGAAAAAAAGAAAAAAGCATTACAACTGGAGAAGGAATAGACAGTGAGATAATACATTAAAGCTCATGAAAGGCCTTGGCTAATGAAAACAAGAGCAGAAAGTCCTTCAATTGGCCAACGGGTAAAATTCTACTGACAGGTAGAGTAAGCTGAGAACACAATTCTTAGCATTGTATTAAGCAGGCTGGATAAGGCGCACAGTCTTTTCAAGGGTCATCCTAACAGAGTGAGTATGACAGAAGCTTTGATGGAGTAAGTTGATCAGAGAAAACAAAATGAAGAGGAGCAGAGCAAAAGATCAAAGGCTGAAGATCAATGTGGTGTTACAGGATGATCAATGACTGGTTTCTCAGGAGCTATTTGCCTTTACAGAACAAACCTTATGTGAAAATTCACATACAACATGAAAACAAAACAGAGGAAGATGACTAGTCTAGGGTGAAATTAGACCACTGTGACACATATACACACAAAGACTGGTTACTTAAAGCACAATGCCCTCAAACTATGGACTGCCTGAGAAATAAAAAGAAACATGACTCTAGGGTACCAGCAAATGGCGTAATGATTATGTCACTAGACTCCCATGTAGTCGACCACTGTTTGAGTCCCAAACTGGGCAACTTGAAATTCACGCCGGGTGTGTGTGAGTGCATGCCGAAGATCCCGAGAGGAGAATGGAAAAGAGATTTCAGTGTGACCATTCCCCCCAGGGGTTGATTTCTTGATTTCTGTCTCTCCAGAGAGTGTATGTGCCCTATAGAAAAAAATCAGTCTAAAAAAAAATAAAAGCATGATTCTGATGTTCAGTTAAATGATTCTGATGTTCGGTTAAACAGTAAAACTACTCCTAGATAAGAAACCCCACAGAGAAAGTCACTGAAATAATCCCCCAGAGAATCACAAAGAACACATGGACCAAGATAAACTCAGAAATAATAAATACAACAATAGGGGAAATCTTTCCTACAGAGGATGATTTGTAGTCTTGTAAAAGGGAAAACATAAGACACAGTCTAAAAATCTAAGTATAACAATATTCCAGTAGGGCAATATCAATTGATTTAAATAGTACAGGTGCATAAATCCAACATGTCGAATAGACGTTTTTGAATCCTTTGACAAGATTGTCTGTGTTTTATTAATTTTGGAATATATGGTGCTGAGTATAATACCTGGCAGTGAAGATGCTGGTTAGACTGGTGTGGAATAATACAGATACAAAAGTGATTGATCTTGGTTAACTCAAAGGTATGTGTGAGGAGTTGGGGTGGAGAGATCAGATAAGTGCTTGCATTTTCATTTAATGAGGCTTGATAGTTTTCTTGGACTTGGGGGAAGTATATGATGAAGTTAAAGGAAGTCTAAATTTTCTTTATTTGTTCATCTGTTGCCATACATTTAGGTTGCTTGCATATTTTGGCTATTGTGAATGATATTGCAATAAACATAGGAATACAGACATCTCTTTGAGATCCTGATTTCAAATATTTTGGATAAATACCCAGAAGTGGAATTGCTGGATCATATGGTAGTTCTCTTTTTAAATTTTTTGATGAGCCTCCATACTGTTTTCTATAGCAGCTAAACTATTTTGCATTTCCACCAATAATATACAAGATTAGTATTCCACATCATTGCCAACACTTTTTTTGTTTGTATTTTTGTTTGTTTTCATAGTAGCCATGGATGAGAGGTGGTATTTCATTGTAGTTTTAATTTGTATTTCCTTGGTAATTAGTGATATTGAGCATTTTTTATATAGTTTATTAGTCATTTTTATGTAGTCTTTGGAAAAATTTCTATTCAACTTTTTAAATTTTATTGAACTAACTTTATTAGTTTTATTCTTACTATTCTAAGTTTCTTTCTTTCCTCATAATTAGAGAGAGAGAGAGAGAGAGAGAGAAGTACAGTCAACAGAATCTCAATCCACGACTGCCCTCCTCCCTCCCTCAAGCCTTTTCAGCTAGCCAGAATCGTGGGCATGCAGGCCAGTATGTATAGGTTTACCTGAAAACCAAACTTGTGATCTGCCATATGGATTCAACTTTACTTAAAAAGCATGTTACTGCTGTGCAAACAAGCTCGTCAGTTTTATTATTATTATTATTATTATTATTTATTTGAAGTCTTTGGGTTGATGAAGCTTTGTTGTAAAGAAGCTTTGGAGTTTGGTGTAGCCATACTTGTTTATTTTTGTTATTTGTTGTCTCTGATTTTATTGTTGTGTATATGAAATAATTTCCAGGGTCAATAGCATGAGAAAATCATGTGCCAGGGGCAGGTTCTTCAGGAAGTATAGTTTCACATTCTCCAGAGGTTCAGGAGCCTTTCAATCAGTTTCTTAGGTCTTACAAAGGGAATCTGTCTACAAATTATCATGGATGGGTGAGTTTGTGGGTACAAAAAGGAGCAGCACTCCTTACTTAGCAATGCTAAATATGTCACTGGGTGTTGCATTATTTATTTCAAGTGAAAAGAAACATATTTGGAAAATGAAATGAATTATGTTGATATTTTTAAAAATGAGATAGCAAATTTGAGGATAGAAAGGTGAAATGTATGGAATATTCACGCAATAAACTTTATAACACAAGATTTGTTTGAGTCATTTCTGTGATCTTAAAAATTTCTTTAAATCAGAGAGATAAAGAAATAAAGTTGAAAGAAAGTAGAAGTTACAGTTACTACCATTTTTTTTATCTTCACACTCTTGACAGAAGCACAATTTATGTCATATAAATCCAGTAATAATCATAACTGCTGTCACTTTTGGGCTAACTACTATGTGAAGACAACAAACACAATAACTGAACCCTCCTTAAGCACAACTTAAATGTTATATTGTAAATGAAAAGTAAGTGGGCATTGATCTTCATGTAACTCAACAATCAACAACCTTCAATTGAAGGAAACTGTTTTTATTATTATTTTAATATCCATGACTGTGGTTCTCTTACCTTCCACAACTTCATAAGCAATTGAGCTTCTTTTTGGAATCACAGAAAAGTCTTTCATCGCTGGTGAAGGACGGTCTCCAAAAAAGTTACCATTCAATTTGACTTCCACTTTCTCTTCTACACGCTTCCTGGCTTGACATGTTATGACAACTACAGGAGAGAAATATTTCCAGTTAATTTAACTCTCATGGTGCATGATCATTCTTGACATAGAAGAAAATGAACTACATCATAAAAGTTAAAACTTCTTTGATATACTTTGATTTGCATCTGGCCTTCAAATGTGCATACACACTTATGCAATATCTATACACATTGAGAATTTGGGAGCAAATATGAATATTAAAGATTATATACATTGACATTTTGGGAGCAAATATGAATATTAAAGATTATGTAAAACAGTACTGGCAAAGGTAAGCCTGTAAAGTGACACAAAATTATAAAAGATTTTATTAGCATGTAGAAATTTGATTCAAAAACTAACATAATTATATCAATAATTCAAGGTGAAATTATGGACATGTGAATTTCTGCCATTTTTAAATCGGAATGTTTATCGTGGTGATACAAAGTTCTATCTTTATAATAATACTATAGTAAGAACCTTTCAATAAATTCGTAAAGTAAGTTTTGTAACATTTATTTTGTTTGTTTATTTCCTTTACTGCCAGAGGGTGCATGTGTTCACCAGAGAGAAACAGACAGACAGGGAAAGGGAGAAAGAGCCCCCTCCCTTGGAATATCATTACACCACAATTCTTTCTCCTACATTTCTCTATTCTGTCATGATTTGGGGTACATGTGCACATGTGCCTGATGTTTTTTTCAAGCTGCTGGGGCCAGAATTTGAACTGCATGTCTGGCCATGTACTATCTGGTTCACTTAACCATCAAGCAACAGGCTAGACTGTAGTGTTTATTTTGTAATATTTTAAAAATATTTTCTATTAGTTTAATTGTGTATTTACATGAACCTGAAAGTCCATATTTACATTATTTCAGTGAAATATTTAAAAACTTCATTTTTGATTCACTTTTAAACTTATAAAATATACCTTTATAAAGAGCTAAAAGGAAAAGTGGAATGAACTATTTAAAATTAAGGTTAAATGTGATTACATTTTAATTTAACATAGCATTAAGTATTTTACAACTATTTATTATATATTACACATTTATATATTATATATTAAATTCCAGTATCTTCCTATATTGAATGCAGGTGAAGCTGTCAGTGATCTTGTGAAAAATCAAAATATTGCTTCCATTTATAATTACTAAGTATGCAAAGAAGGAGTATTAATGTAGTATTTCAGTAGTAACTCTATAATATTTTGAGGGCATTTGTACTGTATTTTACATACATACAAATATTATTTCTTCCATATTAACTGTTTTTCTTTTTTTTTTTTTCAAGTCAAATGCACATAGATTACAAGTTAAATGTAAGGGGAAAAAGGCAATAATAATGTACTAAAAGCTGTTGAAATGTATTATGATACTCTTTTGTGGCATCAATAATATATTCACATAAACTTCAAAATTAGATAATGTCCTTGGCTTTATGTATACAGACTGATGTTGAACACTCTGGACTTAGAATAAGTATGTTAAAGGTACAAAAAGGGTACAAAATTTCATAAAATTAAGAGTTAGGAGCTAGCAGATGGTGTGGTTGTTAAGCTGCTAGATTCCAAAATGACTAACTGCAGTTCCAGTCCCAGATCTGCCGGCTAAAAAATCAGAAATTGGTAACACTGGTTATTGCCAGGGCTTTGACTGGGACAGGAAGCTAAGGAAATAAGGTTGATTTCAAGAAAGCCAACAGAAGCTCCTGGTACCATAAACAGTTCTGCCTGGCCGGTAAGTAAAGAATGTCACTTCCTGACATGCCCTAAAACTTCCAAGTACAGGTACAAAAGGTCAGATAGTGAATTCCTGACTTGACTCAGGAGCTTTGGGGGGCATTTTTTTTTTCTAAAGATGTATTTATCTATTTATTTGTTTGTTATTGCTTTTTTTTAAAATTTTATCAGAGAGAGCCAGAGAGAGAGAGAGAAAGGGAAAGTGAGCAAGCAAGCCACCAGGTCCTGGACTCGAACCACAGTTAGCCATGTGGGAGTCCAGCACCTCAATCACCACGCCACCTGCAAGCCTCAACCTTGGGAGACTTTTTTTTTTTTTTATTAATTCACTTTACACCATCACAACACACAAATGAATTTTCCATCCAAAATACACTGTGCATTGTCTCAATCAAGTACATCCACATATATGTTCTCAGCAAATAATTTTCCAATTCTTACGTCCTGCATACCTTGCCCTTTGTCTTGCCATCCCTGATTCCCCATCCCCCACCCTCTGCTATGTCCCACCTTAGCTAGCACAGCTGACACAAACCTACACATGTATCCTAGTCTGACCCTAGGCATAAACCCCGGTGAGTAGAATGAACATACTATAAAGTAGTAACCTTGGGAGACTTTTTAAAGAGTCTAATCTGAAGTTCCTTATGAAAGCCAACTAAATCTTATTGGGCTTTGTGCAAATTACCAAATTGACACTAAACTTATTTTAAAAATAAATTAGTTTTATTATGCTTCTCTTTGGTAAAAGGGGGAATGGAGAGAGAAAAAAAACTTTCAGAAGAAAACTATAGCACACTTGTTACTAGATTTTAGCTCTGTCCATATTTGTTTTTTGAGTGTTTAGTATCTACCTACTGTTTGAACAGAATCCTAACCTTATTCCTGGCTTTAAGTATTAAGCAAATTTTTCTTAACATTTTAAAAATTTTGATTCATTAAAGCCATTTTTCTTGAAATTTTACATACTGACGATGATCAGTTTGATAGACTCCCTATATCACCACAATAGCCGGTGTATAGAAAATCACTGTAAATGCCAACTATAGACCAGAAAATTCTACCAGATCATCTCAGCCTGCTATTTTCACTTTATTTCATTGACAAAATTAGACCATAAAATAGCTTTGAATTATGTCTTGATTTAGTAGAGAGGAGTTTGCATGACGGTAGCATTTCATGAAGCACTTACAAATCTTAGGTAAAATAAAATTCATCTGGGTAAATAAAGTAATAAGCTACCTGGCTACTAGTAAAAATAGGCTAGCAACTTGGCCGTCATCTTTGTAGTATATGGTAATTAAATGTATTTTCAGATTCGGGAACGTAACAGTGGAAGCTGGTGCTAGCATAATGGTATTTATTGAAAAACTAAAGGCAAATTTCGGAATACTTTGAAATGAAAGTATGCCATTTCTAATCCTGACCTCTGAAATTATGTCCCCATTAAGCAAGAAGCAGCCAGATTGCCATCACCCATTTCCCCTCAGAACTGAGAGGTTTTTTCAAAGAATAGGAGGGACCGAAACTGAGCAGAGACCCCCTAAGAGAGATGGGTCCTCTGTTTCCCCTTCTGTTAAAGAAAAAGAATTTCCTAAACCAAAAATTAATAAAGGCTGAACTAAAATAAAGTGCATTTTCTAAGGTTCTTAGAATACAAAGTTCATTTACATTGTACAGGCCCAGAGTAAGGTGTAAGACTTCAGACTTTGATTATGATAATGAAACAACACTGGCCGTGAATAAGGGCCATTTGACCTCTAAACTCTCACTCAAAGGAAAGATAAGGTTTTCAGTTCAGTATCTAAGATGTTTCCTAGGACAGAAACTGCTGGCTGTGAGCTCAAAGACCCCAGGCTGAATAACTCCAGAAACCTGAACAGAAATTTGATTATCTAAAGCCTGACCAATCAGGAATATCCATGAGATGATCATGCCCTCTTGAACCAATCATTGAACTGATCATGTGCCTGGGAACCCTGCCCCTAATTTTGCCCTTAAAAACGCAAGTGGGAAACACCTCAGGGAGACTGGGTCTTTTCAGTATGAACTGCCAGCTCTCCTTAGTTAACACTTTGCAATAAAGCTGTACTTTACTTTAATCAAAAAAAATCAAACTAGGGTGTGTGTGTTTGTGTGTGTGTGCCCCCATGCCCAAAATCCTAAGAGAAGAATGGCGAAGAAGGGACTGTGGCACGGCGATCACCCCCTGTGTGGTGATTTCTC